TGTCTGTCTGTCTGTCTGTCTGTCTATCTCAAATAATTGTGCTCCAGTGCTTAATGATTTAAAATTCTTTCGGTTAACGTTTAGGACAAGAAAAGGACTACTTTGGATCCGTTATCAGCTGTAGAAGAAGATCTGCCCTCACCACAAGCAAGGGCTGGAGCCGACTTCCACGCAACTATTTGAAAGGGATAATTCCAAGCGCCGATGCCGACACACACTCCCAGAGGCTCCCTGCGGGTGTAAGCAAACGATCCCCCAGGCAACTGGACATGCTGGCCTAAATAGAAAAAAAAATAAAAAAGGAAAGCAGTGTCATTCAATCAGATTTGGGCTTTTCAACAAAAGATATGGCACAACGTGACTAATGTTTAAGACGAAGGTTAACTGATTTGCAGTACAGCCCGTAGTTTTTTTGTATTGTTTTGTTTTGTTGTGATAAAGTGCTTTGAGTTGTATTCATTACTTGTGCTTCCATAACCATTTCTTACACCTTGTGTGACTGCTGAGACAGATCTATGGAATAAACCATTAGTTCAGAATGTCTGTGCAACACTGACATACGAACTGCACCTGGAGGACACCAAAACGGAACAGAGCTTGTTTTTGTTTTTTCCTGTTTCGAGGCCATCTTAACCACCCTGCGTCATAAGCTCATCTACCTCCTCCGTGTAGTCGCTGTTCACTCGCTGCAAGTAAATAAATCTCCTGTGCTGATGAATTATGCTGCCCGATAAACAGAATTACAAAACGCATCCATCAAATTTCTTCCTAGAAAGGGAGTATATAGATTATATATACATGTAAAATGGGAAAAATCGCCAATAAGTTGAGGTACTGAACGTGTGACAACCTGCCAGAGTGCTGGCCACTCCAGCATAGTATTCTATGCACATTCTGGCTGAGTCCACATCCAGACGAGCTTCTGTGATGGTCTTGCCGTTGTTGACCACCTCCAGTTCTGCAATCTCCTCTCTCCTGCTCTGTGCATGAAAACCAGAGCAAACGCAATGATCTCAATGTTTATAGAAAACAAAATAGGATGGAATTAGGAAACAGTGCGTGCATCACTCCTTATCTCTGCTATTTGTAATAAGATTCCATATGGGACAATCTGACCGAACCCGACTCGATATTTGGACCTTTTTGAAGTGTACAAATACACACCTCGATGATATGCGCGGCCTCGATCATGATCCTCGCCCTCTCCATCCCTGACATTTGGCTCCAGGGGCCAAAGGCCAACTTAGCTGCCATCACAGCCTGATCCACCTGCGCGGCACCGCAGGGTTCCAGCTGGCACAACACTCGCCCTGCAAAACCAAAAAGAAACAGCTTATGAAACATTTGGTGTAACTATTAACAAAGACTCTATATCAAACATTCTTCCATACAGAAGGAAATTAAGTTGAGGCCTGAGGGCTTCAGACTGTGGCATGATTAACTTAGCAATGCATTTCCAGTCATGCTTTTAACAGTGATCTAAGGCCTTGTTGTGCGCCAAGTCACTCTTTGCTTACTTTACAATGACAAAAAGAGGCAATGAACAATTTTGACTTTTAAAAATCTTCTCGGAGCAGGTCATAAGGAGGACTCCAGCTGCCATGTATGCGGTCTTCCATTTTGGTTTCCCACCAGTGAAGCTGTTAAATGAGCCACATAACTAGTTGTATAGATAAGAGAGCAGCTGTGACCACATTGCTATCTATGAAGCATGCCCCAGAGGTATGTGGAAGTTCAAAAAAAGCACGTGTTTACAGTTTACCTTCCTTAAATGACTAACATACAAACGTCACTTGTTAAAATCTTCCAATCTAAAAAATCTAATATTCTAAAATCTCTCTTTTCCTTGTTGTTTGCCTTTGAATAGAGCTCATTTGGCAAACTTTGATTTCCTTTACAGCAATGACCAAAGTCCAGTTGGGACCCAGATCCGGGGATCGTGTGGTCTTACCAGTGGCTGGCTCGTAAACATTTTCCGTGGTCCACTTCTCTTGGATGGTCCTTCTCTTCCCAGCCCAGTAGTTCAGCGGGGTGTCGATGTTCACCGAGCCCGAAAAGAGGCTCCGCGCCGCGGCAGCGAGAGGACCAGCCGGGGGGCGCCGGGAGAACGCAGCGAGCCTCGGAAGCATACTTAAACCAAGCCTGCCAGCACCAAAATCTAACTGTTTGCTGGGAAGCGAGCAGTATGGAAGACAACTCCGTGCAAAACTTTACGACATCAAAATTCTTAGCGACACTAAGTGCAGAACATTTGTACAAAGCTATCCTTGCGTCATTAACACTTAAGGTGTCTTTGATAGGCAATTCGGCTTATTTGATTGACTTACGTGTTGACATTTTCGGTTTAAATATAGTTTATACTTTTTTAGGTCTTACCCAAACTGGTAACCACTGAAATTGTTTTGCAGCGGCTCAGACAGGAGGTGGGACCATTGGACGTTGCTTTAAGGTTCGATGTAGCGTCAAATTTCATTGGACAGTTTCCCTGCCAGTCATGAAAGAGCGTGAGGAAAAATGTCTAAATATTCAAATAATGAATTAAAAAATATTCGGTTGTCGTGGACCTGATCCTGTTTCAAATTTAGACGTTATAATTTACACCCAAATAAAGCAGTGTACGTACAAAATGTGGCGTGGGTTGGTGGGTGGAGCTTCGTAACAATGATGTTCCAGCACAGCAGCCCTAACGGCACATTGCAAGTATGGCCGGGGACAGCGAGACGCTTCTTAGGAACCATGACGAGAACACCAACGTTATTCGACAGCCTTTTCTTATCGGCGTCTCCGGTGGGACTGCCAGTGGCAAGGTTGGCTTTCAGGCCGGCTCATTTGTCCGTCGTTTCCTCCTGACATATCTTAAAATTTTCAGTTGAGCCCCCGACTGAGGGTCGCGCGCATGCCGGGTGCTAAATGCTAGTTGACCGCGTGGCTTCAGTGACGCAACGTTGAGCGTTGCTGGTCAGCTCTGTCATCTGTTGGTAACCATCCGGCTTTCTGCTGGCTTTGTTTAATCAAGTACTATTGTGGTGTGGAATTATTGCATAGTCGGTTTGTACTTTATTTTGAGTTTTATTCTAGCCAGGTGAACTAATTGTAGTCGGTGGGACTTTGCCAATTAGCCTGTTAAATTCCATCACATGCTAGCATTACCGGGAGCATAAAGACAATAGCTTGTGCTAATGTACCTCTGTTTTGACTGGTTGTAAACAATGGGATCATCCATATATAATACATATACTTATATCAAGTCGCTTAAACGACTACAGTGTTACAAATAAAAGTTATTTTACGTTTAAAACGTGTTTTCTTTCAGTTTGAATGACCTGGCGGCACCCTTGGTGTTGAATGACCCTAATCTGGGTGTAGGTGAGGAGAATAACTGTGACTGGCGCCCGCAGGAAAGACGAGAAAAAGATCTCTGCGTCGATTTGTAGTCCCAGAGTGTTCCCGTTTTTAAAAAAACGAGTATTATATCATCATCTTGGCTCCTTTTCGAAAGTTTTTAGTGAAACATTGGCGAGTATTTTCATTGTAAACCGCTGTGCGATTTTTGCTTTTCGGTTCTTTAAGCGTCGGTTGGAAAATCGTGTCTGAAGCGCCCGCGTGGGCGGAGCTGAATTAGCAGCACCCCGGTGCTGACTCCGTTCCAGGAAGCAAACGTCACTCGTTATCTTTGTTGTGGCCCGGTTGTATTGTGCAGTGAGCGACTTGAGATTCGGGGGGCCTAGAAATCCTAAAATGAGCCAGTCTTATGATATGTTTGCGAATGAGACGGCATACTTGATCTTATTTAGGTAATGAACTCGCCATTATTTTCTCTGTAAATCTGACCGCTTCTTATGTACTTATCTCAGACTGGGACATCAGGTAAACATACATACTGTTGCATTGCTGTCTTTATTGTTGCATCCCTTTGACCCCGCCTCCAACCCCAGAAAGCTCATTTGCAGGATGATGTCATTTAAAAAAAAAAAAGGACTTAAATGGACTGATTTCATTAACATCACATCTGACCGCTGCCTTTTCAAATGGGATTGTTGTTTTTTTGGGGGGGGTAGAGGTGACAGGAACTAAGAATGTGCCTAAAAAAATCATCAGGAAACAGGAATTGCTATTTGAAGAAAAGAAAGTCCATCATAGTTTTAGATTCTGATGCACAAACAAGCGAACTCTTTACAGTTGAGTTGTGGGACAGATGTCTGTGACTATTTAAATTTTCTGAAACTGCTCCTGAGAGGTTTTGATTCAAACTGCCAGCTTGCGCAGCATCAGAAGGCATTGTAGCATGATGTTAGGGGAATAAAGGCAGCCAGGCCTCAGGCGGCAGGGAAACGCTCCGTCAGCATTAGGCGTGGGACTCTTTTAGCTGGGGGGGTCAGGGAGTACAGTCAGGTCGGCCATGGGGTAATTCAGTAAAGGTTGTTTAATCCTTAAATCAGACAGTCATAGTTCAATTTTAAAGGATATTTTCTAAACATGTTGTCTTTATTTCTATTATTATTATTATTATTATTATTTTTAGAATGTTACCCCCGAATCCTTAAATCTTTTGTTTTACAATTGTTTAATGTATTTTTGTTGCAGTCCTCTGTGTGTGAGAAGATCATGGAGCTGCTGGGGCAGAACAAGATCGACCACCACCAGCGGCAGGTGGCGATCCTTAGCCAGGACAGCTTCTACAAGGTGCTGACTCCAGAGCAGAAAGCCAAGGCGCTAAAGGGCCAGTTCAACTTTGACCATCCAGGTATAATTGCAATTAAATTACTGCGTCTTTTATGTGTGTATATATTTATTTTTAAGTGCCTGGTGCACAAGTGGGTGTGCTGCATGTGTCTCGGTGGCTGATGCGGGTTTTTTCTTGCAGCCAATGCGACGGTGATTATTTTCTCTTGCAGAAGAGCTGCTCCCATATTTGGATTCAGACTTGGAACGATAGTGCTTCGGCTTCCTCCTTTTTTTTTTTCTTTTTAAATCCTCTGACACAGCTGTTTGATGACTCAGTCTGAACCCCACACCTGTTATGCGAAAGGGATTCCTCGGTTACCGAGCGTGTGCAGTATAGGCCACACGTGCCCATGGTGGCATGCCAGGCCCCCCGTTTAAAACGATGCCCCATAAAGATTGCAGCTGAGCACGTGGTTTTTTTCCCCGTTCCCCAGATGCCTTTGACAGCGAGCTGATCATGCAGACGCTGCGGCAGATACTGCAGGGGGAGGCCGTGCAGATCCCCGTCTACGACTTTGTCACTCATTCCAGGTGAGCCACCACTCTTTGTTTTACAACCATTTATGCACGTCTTTGCGGGATGTGAAGTTTGCATAAAGTTACCCGTGCAAACAAAAGCTCCTGAAGACGACACGTGCTTTTCTACACTCTGTCAAAAATGCCGTCACTCACAGAGAAGAGGGAACTTTTCTGTGTTGTTCCAGGAAAGAGGAGTTTGTTACGGTCTATCCAGCCGATGTGGTCCTGTTCGAAGGCATCCTCATGTTCTACTCGCAGGAAATCAGAGATCTGTTCCAGATGAAGCTGTTTGTCGACACAGACCCCGATACACGGCTCTCGCGTCGAGGTGTTTAGCAAAAGGGGGGGGGAAACGCCCACAGCTTCAGTAACAATTGGCACTTGGCGAACTAAGACTCAAGTTGACTGTAAGCTGTCACATTGCCGCAAAACATTGGCAACAAAAAACGTGGGCTTTTCTTTAACATTTCTTATTTTTTTGCCATGCATATATTATCCTAAATGTTTATTTCTTATCTTCTTTGTTGCAGTTCTGAGAGACATCGGTGAGCGGGGCAGAGAGCTGGAGCAGGTGCTGGCTCAGTACATCACTTTTGTGAAACCAGCGTTCGAGGAGTTCTGTTTACCAGTAAGTGCTGAACACAACCCTTACCGCAGAATGCCATCGCCCAGCCTCTGAGGTCTACTAATGTATTTCAGAATTAAATGCCTGTAAAGGTTACACGGCTGCTGTTGTAAAAATTGCCCACCAGAGGGCGGTGTTCTTTGGGTTTTTGTTTAGTAAGTAAAGCTGTGCCTTGGTTTTTGTCTTTAAAATATCTCATTACACCAACCTTTAATTTCTACTAGACGAAGAAGTATGCAGATGTGATTATTCCACGAGGAGCCGACAACATGGGTAAGGTCCGAGTGTTTACTGTGGAAACAGAACTTTCGCTTGTGTTGGACAAGCTCTGCTGCATAATTCTTGAGGCAAGAGTAAACATCCTCCTGCCCACTTCCTGTTCTAGCATCGAGGAGTGGGATTAAACACAAACAGACTTTCCAAACGCCAGTATTCCGGGTCATTCTGATCTCTGAAATTATGTTTGGATAATAAGCCAGCTATGGATTTTTTAGTGACAGTTCATTAATTGTAACAAATTCAGGCCAAATGACCACTATTATTCAAGCTTAAAGGCATTCATATTTAGTTTTTTTTATGTGGATAAAGAAGAGTAGCCTGTTCAAGTACATTTTTGTTGCACTTTTAGCCTTTCGGTAACTTATCTCTTGTTTCCAACAGTGGCCATCAACTTGATAGTGCAACACATCCAAGACATTCTGAACGGCGGCCTAAGCAAGCGCCACAGCGGCTGCATGAACGGCCACAGCACTCCGCGGCAGCGGCGGACCTCCGAGTCCAGCAGCCGGCCCCATTGACCTCGTCACACCTCTCTTCGTGGAGAGGGGTGTGCGGTTTGTGCTGTAAATAGGGAACGCTGGCATCACTGTATTTAAAAGATAGCGAGGAAGAGGAAGGAAACTTAATGGAAATGCCTTGTATTAATATGACTACTCTCGTCATCAGTTACTTTGATTGTAAATGTTGAACTTGTATTTAGTTTTTTTTTTTTTTTTCGTCAGAGAGGGGAAAAGGAAGGGTCTTACATGAGACCGTGGATAGTCTGGTCCCATGCGTTTTCCTCCCAGATCTTTTTTTTGTTTTGTTTTGTTTTTATGTATCCCCCTGCTGCTCCGCTGAACTTCTTGCCAATATGAATAAAGGAGGGGAAACACCTTTTTATTTTCTTATGTCTGATAAAACTTGAACCCCTAATTGCGGGGGCACCTCCAAACTAAAAGAATTTGAATCAAAAACATTGTGAAAACAGGGATTGCACTCTGTTCTGACAATCTTGATAGTGTTTCCCATCAGTCTGTAAAGTGTTTTTGAGTTTACCCGATGTTTTGTTACACTATGGGCCGATGGGCCACTCGAAGTCCACTTCAAATTCCCTGTGCATCTTTAGAAGAAGACACCAGAGTTTGTCAATACAGGTTATCGGATTTCCACGTGATCAGTGACTGTCGAGGCGTTGGGGTTCAGTCAGCCTTAACAATTGGTACTTGATTTGGCTATCCCTTCTGGATGATTGATATCCAAGTTGAATGATTAAAAATCATTTACATACTCATCTTTGATATATTTTTCTTTAACTTGTCGCTATATTACATCTTCAATCCCCGATTTAGACGCTAGCACCCACTTAGCCAAATCTAACATGTCAAGATTGTGTATACATGCTCAGGTAAAAGAAATACCATTCACTTAAATCCAGAAAAAAGTGTTACGAGGGTGTTTGACGCCACAGCAATAGCATTCATTCCAGGTGTGTGGCAGTTCTCCACCAAGACCCACCATAATGCCTCAGTGACGTTGCCTCAGGTTCACATGTACAGTAAGTATCCACGCCAGTGATGACTCTCCTAAAGAGGTTCTAATGAATGAAAAATGGATTGATTTTGTATGGCATATGTTGTATCTGTTCTGTAGAGTGCAATTGAATGAATGATTTGTACTGTAAGATTTGTACTGTATGGCTGTGGATTTGGAGTTGCATATTGCCAATAAATGATGCTGACAATGTAGTTTTCTTTGATTGGTCATTTGTTCCAGAGTGGGTGCGTTATACGTTTATCCACTAGAGGGAAGCACCATCAAAGTGGTATAATAATAATCATAGACATATATGTATATATGTCTATTATGTTGATATTAAATGTTGACTTGGACGTCAACATTTCCCGTTGTGGTCAGCCAAAAATAGTCGAAACGTTTTCGTCTCCGTCATCGTGGCAAACAAACACATTTATAATTTTGTCCCTAATTTTGTGCAGTCTCACTACCATTTGAATTTTAATTTAAACTATCGGCAAATAGTTGCAGTGAGTGTCCTGTCTTTAAACTTCCGTTTTTGTCATTTGCGTTGATACTCAACGACAAACACCCCACAGATACATTTTCCAGAAAGTGTATTCAGAGAGTGTGTTCAGAAATTGGAATTTTCGAGGAATTGTGAACGCACCAGCCATTCTGAGCGGAGTAGGAGCGTCAACATGGTGGTAAGTATAGCTGCTCCCTACAGCATGGCTGTGCTAAACGGCGTACTTGTATTATTTATTCAAAACCTTTCATTTTGCCCAACGCACGGCAGAAATTCGGTCTCCAGTTTAAGGCCACCCTGGAGAATGTCACCAACGTGAGACCACTGGGTGAGGACTTCCGCTGGTTCTTAAAGGTACTATCCCCTTGAAGCTAACATGCTAACACCCCACTTTTAAACATTACCATTATGAATCCGTTTTCTGTCCGCGTTCGATAATGCTCTGAATTTGGCCAAATACTGCCGAATACTGCCGAACGTGCCCCTCTCCGACAAATAACACAGAAAACGTAGCCAGAGACGTTTACATTGATACAGCCAATCCATTTTCATTGGTCATAGATTTTTCTGGACCTCCCTCGCTGGCTTTGTCACAGCCAAATGAAAGTGAACAATCGCATATGGGCATTTAAAAACAAATGCCACGGTTCATATTACCGTTTTGTTTGGCTGACAGTTGTTTGTTTTGCTCCCTCGAATAGCTGAAGTGTGGAAACTGCGGCGAGATCCCGGATAAATGGCAGTATGTGACGCTGGTGGTGAGGATGGGAGTCTTTTTTTCAGTCCTTTTGCTTTGGTAGTTAAATGGAATCCACCATATTCTGAGGTCCTTTTTGAATGGGTGTGTGTCTTTGTGTTGGACAGGAGAGTGTACCCCTGAAAGGAGGCAGAGGAAGTGCCAGCATGGTGCAGAAGTGTAAACTTTGTGCCAGGGAGAATTCAATTGGTGTGTCATTTGATTCTTTCTGTTATTTTTTTATTTGCATTCAAAATCTCTTGATTAATCAATGGTCTTTTTTATTTTTCAGACATCCTGAAAGAAACCATTACGTCTTATAATGTAAGATAACAACATAAGAGTGTTTATCATCTTAATTTGGCTCATGGTGGCGATGTCAAATGCATTAACCAGTAACAAAATTGTTTAGAAGATTATATTATATCTTTGTTGTTTTCTCTGTGTTTTCCGAAAACGTTTACCTTCTTTCGGTGTGAAATGAGATTGTAGTCGGTTTGAATCTGCTTTTTATTTTTATTTTATGGCCTTTAAGACCCCGTGTGTGTCTTTGTGTATTTCTGGCATGAAGGCGGCTGACAACGAAACCTTCAAGACAATGGTGCAGTTTGAGTGCCGAGGCATGGAGCCTATTGACTTCCAGCCACAGGTAAGATAAAAAAAACCCCCAAAGAAACAAGCTATTTTTAAAAAGTAAAGCATTGCTATTTTAGGCACAGCCCTTACAGTCAAACAATAGCGATAGGAGGTTTATATTTCACACAAATTGAAATGATACATAATTAGATTTTCTTAGTAGGTTACTTTTCTCCAATCTTAGAATATAAAAGAGTTCAAATCCAGCTTTTATTTTTTGGGTAAATTTATGCAGATAAATGACATAAAACTTCCAGATACCTGTGTGTTAATTAAAGCATTTATGTTTGGCTTATTTTGAGCCAAAGTATTGATAGTAAAGATTAGTTGTTGTTTTTTAAGGTATTTCTACAGAGGGTGTACAAAACTACAACCCTGAATTTAGACCTCGAGAGCTGGAACGTACTAAAGGGAAATTCAGCAGCAAACAAGAACACAAAATGCGATCCAAACACACCGACGCGTTAACTGTCCGGCAGTTTTGCATTCCCTAAACAGCAGATTAGGGCATTTTTCTCGCCTTTCTCATGCGTTTCTTTTAGATGTCCAGATCTTGACGGTCAGACGGAAAGTCAGCCATGTTTATGGGTTGTTTTCTTTTTTGGTTTAATTTCTACTTTCCCACTCCAGTAGGCATAAAAAGAGCAATGGATTTTTACTTTTCCTGTGGAAGCCTTTTTTAGTAGCAGCATAAAATCAGTGAAAGACTTAAAGTTAAGACTTAAAAACTGTTTATGATGTTTTAATACCCAAACTTTCGAAGATGTTTCTACAGAATATACATTATGAATGCAAAATGAACACATACAGTAAACCCAGAAGTTGGATGATGAAATATGAAACACTGTGTTTCAGTAAAATAGGTTTTTATTGACACTTTATCAGCCAAAATCTGTGAAACTACTGAGCTGTGCCTGTACTCTGCACACGATGTGCATGCGAACATCCTTTGCTTTTTAAATTTTTTTATAGAATAAAATTAACCTTGGTTACACCTTGCTCAGACAAGTAGACTTGGATCAAATACCTTAAATCAGATTGATTCAGTTAAAGGCGTTTTACAAACCTGTCACTACAAACCTAGCATCACGTTAAAATTTTTTTTAGAAAAAATAACACGGTAAATCCACCATATTTCATATTTAAGTGTTTTTGCCCAGATAATGTTCTAAAAAATCATCGTGGCTCATTTGGTCTTCCAGGCTGGCTTCGCCGCAGAGGGAGCAGAGTCTGGAACGCAGTTTCCTGAGGTCAACCTGTTAGAGAAAGTAAGCACGGCGGGAAAAGCTTGCTCGCCACATTATTGTGAACAGATTGGGCCTTTTTTAAGGCTTCGTGAGACGTTCGTCCCCTTTACGTTCTTGTTGTTTATGGGACCGACCGTCGGCCGGATTTAACCCTCGTCTCGACCCTTCCAGGATTGGACGGACTACGACGAGAAAGTCAAAGAGTCGGTAGGCATCTACGAGGTCACCAGCAAGTTCATAAAGTGCTGATGTTGTTCTGTGACGAGCGTTGGAGGTGTCTGAGTGGAGCACGACAGCCAAACCCCCCTGGTCCGGTTTCCCGATTAGCCAGTGGTGAAAGGTGTGGATTACCGCGACGGGAGGCCCTTTCAGATCTCATGGACTGATTGAAATGTTCAATAAGCAAGGATTTTTTTTATTGCATCAATAAAAAGGAAGGATGAACATTTCAAATGAATGTTTTTTTTTGTCATTTTGGTTTTGTTGTCCACTAAATAGAGACCAAATCAAAAGGAATATGAAGTCACTACATTAAGGTCTTCATGGCAATATTTCCAGTAAAAAATAAAAGTTGAATATATTTATAATAAAATATTTGTCAATATGAGCTCACAGGGGTATTTGGTTGTCTTTAAAGAAGTTTTTAAAGGTCAAAGTTTAACTTTGAAGATGCATTTATGTGGTAGTGTACTATACTTTGATTAATCCTTTCTTTAGCCCACTGTACCTTGTGTTCAAGGGGATACAATGGGATAGCAAATCTTTTTTTTTTTAATGAGGAAATCTAAAGAGGAATATAGTTAATAAGCCAATTTAACATTTTCCATGGGTAGAGAAATGCTGGATTGAGGCTGTTAATAAAGGTTTTCAAAGGCTCCAGTTTAAGTTCCTGGATACTCGACATCATAAGATGTCTCATCCTGTCCCCTTTCCGAAGCACCACATTTCTCTTCCGTCTTGTGTTGGACAGATTTCTCTGCTTTTGCGGAAGACGAAAAAACGGCTCACCACGAATTATATGAAAAATAAAGGTTTTTAGTCATCTTTGTGCAAACACCCTGTAATCTAAAGTGGATATAACGCGATAAGTTGGAATATGTAAAGACAGAGAATACTAAGTCCCGTTTGTCCTGCAGTATCTGCGCTTTGAGCAACTGGCACACTTCTGTTCACCTTAGAGGTACAAAAAGAACACCAGGCTCACTGACCACCCGAGTGTCCGAAAAACGACTGCTTTGGAAAGCTGACGAACAAATTAGCACGCTTCGCATTCGGTCTGGGTTTTCGCAAACAGTGGCGCATCGTCCCAAACATAGACGATCTTCGCCACGGGGGATGGTCTGGGTGTTGTAGGGGAGCTTCTCTCTCTGGTTCTGCATCATCACGGAGGCCAACAGGAGGCAAGCAGCCATGGCACCTGGACAGAAGAACAGAGTGTTTGTCATTGGTGTCGGCATGACAAAGGTATTATCCCTGTGTGTGATTTATGCGTCCGTCTCACATAAGAAACATTTATTTCCGGCGTTCTGTTGCAGGGTTTGGAAGCTAGCTTAGGTGGCTATCTCAAGACTGTGGTGTTGCACCGCTGGTTCCTGAAAAAGTTGTGTTATTGTATTTACCAAGCCTTTTGACAGTTACACAATAGCTTACAGTGTGCGGGACCGTAAGAGTTTACTTCGTGGACTTCAACTCCTGTTACGTAAACGGCCCTTAATATGTCTCATTGACAGTTCACACCGAAACAACACTCAGTTAGCTTAAATCAAGTCAAAAAGATAGTATGTATTTTTTTATTTGAAAATGTAGTCACTGATATGCCTGAATGACTGACACTCTTTGGGACTTATTCCAAAGTTCGTTGACCATAGGTCATGGTCAACAGAGTTACGAAGTGGGTCAAAGGTTCTGGATAACTGGCGGCCGCTTATGGGAATTTCACCACCAGAATTCGGCCGGTTTCAGCTTTAGCAAAGACTCTCCAGGCTTTCTAGATTGTTCTGTCTGAATGCAAATCTTAGTAACCTAAAAACAAATGCGAAACACCTTTGCCCCGGGTTTCAACAACCTTTGAAACGCCACATTCGGACTACATTGATTTAAGTATTCATTTAGTAGAAAAAAAAGAAAAAACAACTGCAAACATGTTGAGATGACCTAAGACAATTTCTGCTTTGCAGCTGAATATTACGCTTATCACTATCTGGGTTTTTCTTTTTCTTTTTCTTTTAGGTGAATTAGATGCAAAAAATTGAATCTGAACCCAAAAAACTGTTTGAAAAATAAAAAGCTAGATTGTCTGACCCATTTTTATAGCTTTGATTTTGGGGTTGGGAGATACCGGGTTAGAGTTAGGGTGGGATACATCCTCTCTGAAGAGCTGGGTCCTCAAGAGTATCTTGAAGATAGATGGAAACGGAAGTGAAGCGGACTAGGATAGAGACTTGTAGTCAGACTGTATGTCTTCAGCTCTAAGATGATTCCTAACTGTTTACAATCACCAGATCTAATGCATGATCACAACAGGAGAGCTAGACTGGTAAAACATGGCACTTTCTGAGCCTTTGCAAAGTGTTCAATACTAAACTGAATAAATATTCAAATGAAAAAAATACTTTGTAAGTCAGATCACATAGGCTATGGCACATTTTTCAGTTGGCCTAACATTTTTTGATTCTTTGTGTTTGACTGCAGTTTGACAAGCCGGGAGCCAGAGACGATTATGACTACCCTGATATGGCCAAAGAAGCAGGTGCCCATCTGTATATGATTCTGGATGCTGCTCAGAAGCTGAAATGACAGCGAACAGTGTGAATATTTTAGCATGTGATGTAATTTAAACTATAACAATACTCTTTTTTTTTTTGGATGTGGACATTTTGTCTTAGGTGTAAATGCTCTAGAAGATGCAGGAATCCCATATTCAGCGATTGAGCAAGCCTGTGTGGGATATGTCTATGGTAAGACCTCCAATGAAACCTGATGGCTGTACCTTGCGGTCGCACATTTGAAGGCATATATCTAACTTGAGGTTACCATCCAGTATCCCATCAAAATGTGCCTATGTGGTAGCTCACAGAGCTTACATTTGATGTCATTACAGTAATGATAGGAAAAAGGGTACATCTGAATAAAGCATCCTCTGCCCTGATGTTTCAGGGGACTCCACCTGTGGACAGAGGGCCATTTACCACAGTCTGGGTCTGACCGGGATCCCCATCATCAATGTGAACAACAACTGCTCCACAGGCTCCACGGCCCTCTTCATGGCCCGTCAGCTGATCCAGGGAGGTGAGTCCAGCAGGAATATGACGTTCACGCATATAAAAACACAGGTCCAAACACAGAACACTGGCTTAGTCTTCCCCATTAGATAAAAAAAAAAAAACAGATTGGAAATAAGTACGACTGAAATGAAAACAGCAGCAAAACCTGCCAGTTGCTTTGTTTTTTTTACTGAAAAGGTGTTTTTAGTAAGCTCTCTCTTGGTGTTTTGCAGGTGTTTCTGACTGTGTTCTTGCCCTTGGTTTTGAAAAGATGGAGAGGGGCTCTTTGTCTTCCAAGGTATTCCTCTAAATGTTGTAGCGGTCGAGGAGAAGGTTCCTCCACTTCCACTTTATTTAAGTTCTTAAACTGATTTCCACAGCTAATGTAAAATCTAAAAAAAGTTCAGGGTAAGATTTTTGACGGAGGAGCAGCTCTTAGAATGTTCAAGGTGAGGCTTGTAGAATTGAACTTTTTAAACTATTCAAGTAATCCTTGCGTTTAATTTACGATAGCTTGCAAAATCTTTCACATTTATAAAAGAAACACTTTTTTATGTAAAGTCAACCTTCATCCCTCACTTTAGAGGACACAAGCTGGTAGATGGAGGCGGGTTTGAAAATGAATGAAGGGAGAGCAATGAGCGGGACCGAATGATGGCAAGAAAGTGAAAATAAAACAAAAAAACAGTCCAATTCTTACCACCGTTTGATAAAAACACACTCACAAATATCAGCAGCAGCAAACAAAACAGATCAAATGTGTCTGGAAACTGCAATGAGCATCGTAATGAACATCTGCTGTCGTTTTGCAATCCTTATCTACTGTTTTTATTTCCTTTACAATCCAAAGTCCCTGAAATGAGGTTGAAAAGTTTGCTCTCGTAGAAAATCTGAGATTTAATCCTGAAATGCCCAAGCAGTGGCCCTCGCTCTTTTTATTTTTTACCTGTTAAAGCTCCTTTGTTTTTAGTTCATGGATCGGACCAATCCCATGGACAAGCACATGGAGGTGATGATCAACCGCTACGGGATGGCGGCGGCGCCGGCGGCACCACAGATGTTTGGCAACGCCGGCAGGGAGCACATGGAGAAATATGGTACTACTAACGGGGGTCGGGGGGGGTGGGGGTGTTCCATAGCAAGGCAGTATTTCCCCAGGAGCCTTAAAACTTGTAAGCTAAACTTGTTATGACAAGTAAAATCTGTCTTTGACGAACAGGTGCGAACATGACTGTAAAAACAGTACAGACTCTCAGAGCGGAGCTGAATCAAATTATACATAAATACGCTATTTTTGTCTGACGTACAGCCTCCCAAACCAAAATGATTGCCTCTTGATTTCATTCATCGACCCAGGTGAAACACTGAAGAAGTCATGGGTTTAAACTCCCATCAACTTGTGTTTGTTAATGGATCTGATTTTGTGTGTTTGCTCGCACCTCTTTTAGGCACAAAACCAGAACACTTTGCCAAGATTGCCTGGAAAAACCACAAGCATTCGACCAATAACCCGTAAGACAGAGTGCAAACTGACGCTTGTGTGTTTGTGTTTGATGTTTGCCGTTGAGCGTGTGTGTTCGCATCCACTTGCGCAGGTACTCCCAGTTCCAGGATGAATACAGCTTAGAGCAGGTTATGAAATCCAGGAAGGTGTTTGACTACCTTACTCTCCTGCAATGCTGGTAAGAATCTGAAGCTGGGAAAGTAATTATTATTATCAAGTGTTTACTGGGAGTTTCGGACGTATTGAAATGCTTTTGTCCCAATCTGCGTCGTTTCACAAGCCCGACTTCAGATGGCGCTGGAGCAGTAGTTTTGGCCAGCGAGGCCTTTGTCAGGAAGCACCATCTGGAAAACCAGGCAGTAGAGATTGTGGCTCAGGAGATGGTCACAGACCTGGCTTCCACATTTGAAGAAAACAGCTGCATCAAGATGGTAAGGCGCGAGAACTTCTCCTCCACTTTGGAATTTTCGTACTCCTCAGATCGAGATTCCATAGCTCAACAACCCGGAAATGAATTGTCCCCCCCCCCCATGTTCAGGTCGGATATGACATGTCTCGGACGGCGGCTAAAAAGTGCTTTGAGGCGGCGGGCCTGAAGCCAAGTGACGTCGACGTGGTGGAGCTGCACGACTGCTTCTCGGCCAATGAGCTCATCACTTATGAGGCTTTGGGATTGTGTGGGGAGGGTAAGACTGAAGCCCATAAACTTTGCCATTGCTAATTTTAAACAAACTTTTTTTGTTGTTTTTGTCAGATTATAAATGGCATGGAATCCAATTTAAATGTATTCAAGTTGCGCCAAATCACAAGTATCAAGAAGTTAAAAAAATCCAGTCCAATTTAACCCAGTTAGAATCGAATGAATTTTTCAAGCTTTCACGTCCAGCTCAGTAGATTTCAAACGTATTCCATTCATATTGAAACAGTTAAGATTTCTGAGCTAATGAAAACAGCAGATTGCACAGAATCCAATCCTCCATCCTAAAAGACCATTGGATTGACAAGAGTCAGGGAGACTGACAGTCTGGAAGAGCTGGAGTTTAGAGAGGACAGGAAACGGGGTCAGCAATCACCACACCAGCAGCTCAGGATTCGTGAAGAGATGGGGAAACCTAAGATAATTATTACAACGTCACATGTATATGCAGAAAAAGGGGGAACAACGAGAAACGGAAAAGAACAAAGGTGCATGACAGGAGGTCCCCCAGCCGTCTAAGCCTAAAGCAGCAGGAATATGGGATGTTTCAGGGTCACCTGAGCCACCTCGTAACCAAAAGCTTCATCAAAAAGGAAAGTTCGAAGCCCGATCCTAAAGGTAGAGAGGTTGTCTGCATCTCAGACAGGTACTGGTAGCTGGTTCCACAGAGAGCGGCCTCGTAACCAAAGGCTCTGCCCCCGATTTGGCTTTTAGAAACTCTAGGGGCCACAAGTAGCAATCTGAGAGCAAAGTTCTCTTAGGGGAAGATATCTAATTATGAGGCATTTGAGATATGATGGAGCTTGCCCACTCATAGCTTTAAATGTGAGGAGCAAAGTTGTGAATTCTATTCTGAATTTACCAGGAAGCCGTTGAAGAAAAGCCAAAACTGGAGAGACATAATCTCCGTGGCTGGTTCTCATCAGAATTGTGGCTGCAGCTTGAGAATTTAAATATTTTCTTTTTTCTTTTTTTCTTTTTTGTACAGCCCAATAATAACTAATTGTTGTGGTCCAAGTTTGAAGTAATGATACAGTTGTGCAAACATTTTGGCAAAATCATGAAGATTTAATAAGCCTGATTTATCCGTGAGATCCTGGTCAAATGAAATACAACCCGCAATAACAATGTAACTAAACATGCTAGTAAAGACTTTTTAATTGATCTTACTAGTGATAGGATTTAAATAGGAACGTAAGTCATAAATAAAACAGTTCAATGATAACGTAAAGCTTTAAATACATTTTTAAAATCTCAAACCGTTTGACAGTGTCACTTAGTGCTGGATGCTTCAGACAGCTGCTCTAACACTGAAAGCCACTCTTTTCCAGCAAACTTGAACAACCAAAATTTTCCATAGATGAATTTTGACGACATTTTTGCGAGTTTGCATGACAACAAGGTTGCGCAAGATGGCGCACTAGTTTTACCCATGCTGCATTCTGCTTGTCGCACGTTCAGCTGGCGGATCTGATCATTTATAGTAATTTCCTGTTTTTTTTTTTCTTTCTGCATTTCCAGGTAAAGCCGGTGAGCTGATTGACAGAGGGGACAACACGTACGGAGGCAAGTTTGTGGTTAACCCGAGTGGGGGTCTCATCTCTAAAGGACATCCTCTGGGAGCCACAGGTACGCACAGCTTGGGACTTAGACTTTGATCTGGAAAACAAAGGTATGTTAGGACCCCTACTGTGGGGAGTGCTTTGCAGTCTTTGGGGAAATGTGATCTACAGCTAGTCTCTGTCCATTAGTAACCTCAGGTTTAGGACACCTGCTGGTGAAAACGTGGTTCTCTCATACTTATCTCGTCCAGGATTCCAAGTAAACTCACGAAGTGATAAAATTCTCTCCTTGTCATCGCTCACCGTGTTCCATCTTTACAGCCAGAACAGTAGCTCCCTCCGGATGTCTGAGCTCTTCACCCGTTTTTCTAAAGTAGAGTCAAGCCAGTATTCTTTGCTTCTATAGGTAATTGGGTAGTGACTAAGAAAAAGATGAATGAATAGATACAGTGAGGGAAATAAGTATTTGACCCCTTGCATATTTTGCAGGTTTGCCCACTTACAAAGAATGCTTATTTTTCCTCATCAGATGGTAATCAATTTTTATAAATTCATATGATGTGATTTTCTGGATTTTTCTTTGGGATTCTGTATTTCACTGTTAGAATGTACATATGATTAAAGTTATAGATTGTTGCATTCTTTGTAAGTGGGCAAACCTGCAAAATATGCAAGGGGTCAAATACTTATTTCCCCCACTGTAAATACAGGTGACTGCTCTACCTGAATTAGTGCAGACTTTTTACGTCCAGGTTGAACCTGTGATGAATCTGGCTCTTACTATCTGTCTGCCCAATCTTGAAGTTTCCTCTGTGCACTCTTGGTGGCGTGCGTCTCCCACCGACGGCCATCTGCGCCGGAACAGCGCCGAATTGATGCTAAGGCCGCATGTGAGGGGCAGCTGGCCGGGAGTCTGGCAAGCTTCCCCTGTAATCTCTTCCCGTTTTATGTCAGTGAGGACAAGCAAAACGTGCTCCCAGCTCACCCAACCTCTGTAACAGCAGCCTTTATCCTCTCCATACACAAACCGCCTCGGATTCACCGATATTTTCTATAGGTTTTCTTATGTTTTGCCCTCCTTCCTGTCTCCTTGTTACCTCTCCAACTTTTTATAATCTCAAATATCAGTCAGTTGTTGTTATTCCATTTCTCCTCTACTTACTGGTCTTGTTAACACTTGCCAGCATGTAAGCTCTGATCTCTTCAAAAATTAAGTTTTGAATGGAAATATTGACAGATGTCATCCGAGGACCCCACGTTAAAGAAATCAAAGACATTTTAAAATGTATTGTTATTCATTTGTCTTAATCAACTTGTCTAAGGTTGCCGTTGGCTCACACCTTGAGCTGAATTAGGTTTAAAAATGAATTTGTTGGAAGACCTCTTATCATTGTTTGTAACTTTGAAGAGCATTTTAGGGAGCTACATCCCTCAGATCAGTTTGGTGCGGTGGGTTTGTAAATTTGTCTGAATCTCCATACGTCATTAACACTGACCTGGTGTCACAGACAAAAGCACACCTCTGTGAAGGGCAGCGCAGCCGTCCAGGCTAAAAATGACAGGAACAGCTTGAGGTGACCTGAAAATAACCCAAGATCCTCAGATCACAGCCCCATCACTTCTGCTGAAATTGGCCATAAGAAAAAGCAACAGTTGCAGAATTGTTAAAGGTGCACGAGCCCTCTGTCCTAGAGTCTGTTAGCTTATCGGGATAATGGAGAAACGCAGAAGCTCATTAAGCAGATGGGATGAAATGATTAGCAATGACATTAGCGCAGGAGCTGTCGCAGGTGAGATTACAGAGCAAGTTGTCAGATTAGGTTGAGTTATGGCACCTGTTTTAGACAGCCCTTTGTTTTTAACCTGTGCAGAATTATCTGGGGTGTAGAGCATGCTTCTTATGGGGTTGCTAAACTATATCCTGTCCAATTGTTGCATTAGAAAAATCCCCCCGAAAAACATGTGCGTTTCCTCCCTTTTTGTTGCAGTAGTTTTCAGCCCGTTTGTTTTTCAAAATAAGTTTTTTTTTTCTCTCTCTTTCCCCAGGTTTTACAGTTTAAATCAATCCGCATTGTAAAACCCCATAAATCCCAGCTTATAAAAGAAGAGCATGATTATAACGTTGGCCGTTTTTTTATTTTTTTTTTGCTTTTTTTTCCTTCAACCTTCTCATGATTAACTGAGGTGGAGTTTCTTTGATGAGTCTTGCCTCTCCCGACAGATATTGCCCGATTTCACGCACAAGCCTCGCTGCCGCCCGTCTTACACACCCCTCCATCCATGCGTCTACTCCCACAGGTCTGGCTCAGTGCGCCGAGCTCTGCTGGCAGCTCCGAGGTCAGGCCGGGCGGAGGCAGGTTCCCGGGGCCAAAGTGGCCTTGCAGCACAACATCGGCCTGGGAGGAGCCGTGGTTGTTGCACTCTACAAGATGGGTTTCCCACAGGAGGCGAGGTGAGCGGGACGTCGTCGACACACTTGGTCGCAGTTGATTTGTAATCACTGTCTTAAAGGGCCAGATTCAGCCTGATATAGCTGGCGTCATTTGTGATGTGATTCCAAAAGGGCAGCTCTGCTATGTAGCCTAGCCTTTTCTTTTTTTCTTGTTCGAGGTTTCATCTGGTTTCATGAGCTGGAAGTAAAGGTTCTCTATAATGCGCAGGTGTGCCCTACGTCTGACCAAGGAGTGAATAAACCAAAAGGAGTGAATAGACCAAAAGGACCAAAGTTAAATGGTTATAAGTTAAAAGGTTAAATGTGGTCGTATGTTTCTTCCCTGAATGGTTCTTTTTATACAAATGTTTTATTTTTTTTTATTTTAAAGCTCGGCTTCATGAAGTTTCCAGAGGTGATTGAGATTTTCCCTTTATGCGCTTTAAACACCAAAAGTACATGTCATGTGTGAGTCAGGGCCAGAAAGGACGGGGAGCTGTTGCTGATAGAATAGAACAGAGAAAGAAGGTGTCAGTGTGTTAGTATAGTTTTGTTCAATCAACAGACATCATTTTAGCCAACTCTGGGCATCGTTTGCAGTCAATTTTGTGTCATATTTAGTACTTAACACCCTGCTTTTATAAGTGTTGTCCAAAAGCTCAATATTATTTAGTGTTTTTTTTATTCTTTATTTTCTAAGGTTTACTTTGTGTGCTCAGGTCTGTCGTAGGTGCAGCGGTTAGCAGCTCCAGCAACGAGCTGGAAGGGTTTAAGGCTTACCCCGTCTTTAAAGAGATTGAAAAACGTCTGCAGCAGGTAAAACGCCATCATCTAATTGACCCCTAATTATCATCCTTTAACACTAAAAACCAGTCATTTGGGTCTTGATCTAATTAAAATCTGCATGCGTCTAAATATGCTTACTTTTTATAAATGTAAACACAAACCTGTAGAGTGAAAAGGCCCCTGTAGACCTTTTACGCTCTCCAGAACATGTTTTCCTCCCACAATCTGCAGAGACCACTACAGGTAGATTGCTTTTTCTTTTTAATTGGCTGTTTCAAGCATTTCTGTCACTCTGAATTCATGTCTGTTTCCCTGGTGAACACCCCCTCTCACACCCTGTGAGACAGCGCTGCTGGTTTAATGTTAATTAACCTTAAATGTGAATAAATCACATGTTGAATTGATTGAATGACTAACTGTGAGGCAAAAAAAACAAAAAAAACAGATCTTACACTAAAAATTCTCGCTTGTTCCATGTGGATGTTTTTGACACCGGTCAGACGGTGACTGCTGGTCATGGAAAAGTACATTTTCCGCTTTTACATTCGAAGAGAAAATTAGAATCAAGCTGTGGTTAACCAAGGCTGCTTCCTGGACACAGTCATAAACTATTCAAGCCTCTTGAAAGGTTGTTGTATTTTTGGCACAAGCACTCCATCCGTAGTAGAAAGTTTCAACAATTGAACACCACTAGTTTAAAATCCACTTAGCTGCAACAGCTGCAGCTGTGAAAGTAATCTTTTCCTTACCTTCCTCCTTGTCCCTCACGGCAGTCAGAGGTTAACCAGACAATTTTGTCTTGTCAAACACCCCTCATAGGCAGGTTGTTCTTTTGAGTCTCCCTAAAAGAAATGACATTCATTCCTTCCTGTGATTTCCTACTGTCCCTCATTTTAGGTGTTGCCGAACTGCAGCTGCAGAACTCAGTTTGATCGTTTAGTTTTTTTTCTTCGCATTCACACAGGAAATGATTCAGAATGCTTTAATTAAAAATGCCTTTCCTTTGAGCAAATTACTATAATAAAGCGAATGTCATGACCTGAAGTTTATTCCCACTAACAGTTAATGCTTCAGAATGTGAGAAGGCGCATGGCTGTAATTTCATATATTAATGTGGGCCAAGGCGGAAATGACTCACATACTGTGGTTTGAATGCATTAAGAAAAAATAAATGGCGTAAGCAGACCCATTTATTTGAACTTGGTGTGCTGGAGCAGGAAAACTTGGTAAAGAGGGAGGTCAGTGAGCTTCGAGGAGCCGGGCTGTAAAGATTTGACGTGTGTTTGTTTTTCAAAGGATGGAGAGAAGCTCGTCAAGAAGATTGGTGGAGTGTTTGCTTTTAAAGTGAAGGACGGCCCGAATGGGAAAGAAACAACTTGGGTCGTCAATGTGAAAAATGGCAAAGGATCTGTCAACACTAACACGGGTATGTATCTGGTTGTTGTACTGGAACAAATTGGTGTGATAATATAAACCATTATTATAGTTTGGATAGTATTTTCAACATTTTTCAACAGGGCATATTTCTGGATCCTCTGAAAATAAGTGTCAGCTCAATCAAAATTATTTGGAGCTCCGCACGTAGTTTTATATTAAGTTACCTTTGTTTAAGACTCATCAAGATGACAACAAAAGGGTTTTGTGTTTCACATTTGTAGTCTTCTTTTTTTCTACAAGGTTGGGAAATGAAGGCTCTAGTGGATAAAGACTATACCACAAGGACCTTTAGAAAATTCTTAGTTTTTTTTGGAGCTGTTGTCATGCAAAGTTTTGGTTTCAGAACAAATTTTTCTCATTAATAATGGATCAAAGATAACGTAATCTGTCGAGCAGAGAAAAAAAAATGAAACAAGGGCCATCGACTGAAACCAATCTGTCCGTTTTTGTGCCCCTCTCCTTTCTAACCCATACATTTAAATGCATATTTGACCATACGTGCCCTCAGTTTTCACAAAGCGTTTTAAGCAGCCAAAAGGAGAACCATGGAGAATATCATGGGAACGGTTCACGTAGTCCGTCACATATTAAACAACAAAATCCTGCTCAGTATTATCCCTTTTGACTTCATACCGGGTCAGTACTGCCTCAGTCACATACATAACCATGTAGCAGGGGTCAGCTCATTCCAGATGCCTCTCGGTGCACCACTTTATGGCCCGGCTAAATGTTAAGCATTAGCCTAATTGCTGTAGCTTCCAGGAAGTTGTGATTCACTAAAGGATGCATCTTGCATACATCTTAAATAAATCTTTATTAATCCTCTAAGCAAGAATTGAATTGCACTATGAACACCACACAAGCAGAAATTTGAAAGAATTCAGCCTTCTACGTAGTTTTTCCCATACTTATTTAAGTAAATCTGATGAGGCCAACCCAACAAAACAAAGGCAACAGAGATTCCACAATGTACAACATCTTACTGCTAAGATGACTTCTGAGGTTTAGCTAACCTTAACAGATTTGTTTCGTCTAAATGTATAGTTGGTCTGGTCTGTAGTTTTCTGGAGTTCCAGTTTTTTATTTTTTATTTGTGAGAACCAGCCTGCCGTTGTGTGGGTGGAAGTCAACACACAAGAATGAATATAACCTTATATACGTTCATTCATAGCATGATATCATCTGAAGGTGTAGCCTCAGCACACCCTCTCAGAGCACCTTCAGCTTAGTGCCACAACCTCTTCGAAGTCCCTTTGATACCAGGTCACTGCTGAAAATTGGGTACTGTATTGTGTACTGTATACTGTGTATACCATACACTGCTTCTGAAGAAGCACAGGTGAACTTGGAAACTTGGCAAACTCATCAATTTGCGTCGGAGTGGACACAATGGATCTTCCAGACACTTGCGAGAAGTCCTTTATATTGAGATTGGCCTGCAATATAAAGGATTTATTGTGTGACGACGCATAGCCTATGGAGAGGGCACGCAAAAACATCACACAGGAAGGCAAAAGAATAAAAGTTGCCATGTTACCTCGGGGGCTCCGTACAATTGAGCTCTTCTGCTTATACAAACATCCAAAGTCTGGAATTCCTGTGACGTCATTAAATCTGTCTTAATGCAAGTTCGTCATTATAGAGGGAATGATTCCACTAAATGTGACTTGTTGACTTGCATGTTTACATATTTTTCTCTTAGATGAAAAGGCCGACTGCACCATCTCCATCGGCGATGAGGATCTACTGCAAGTGATGACTGGAAAACTGAACCCCCAAACGGTGTGTGTCGCCATCTATGAAATGGACGTTTGTTTGTTTTTAACCATGTGACTCTGGCCGAATATGATGTCTTTGTGAGCCTGTGGACGTCAATTTTTCTATGACGATTATTTTGGAATTTACATGCCATTTTCTTACAAGTGTAGGTTTTGGGTGCAGGGTTTAAAAATGTGTGTTATTCCAGTTCTGTGGCTGGCTCAGTTTTTCCCGTCAACACTTGGGAGCAGCCTCAGATTCTCGGTTCTCCTTCTAAGTGCAGTTTTTCTAGTGCTCGACCCGATTTTACAACCGACATTCTGGCGTAAACGGGACAAGATTACACCAGTGCTCGTTTTGACAGAGCCAGGCATGTTTGAAAGCACATGCAATTCCCTGGACACATGCGGAAATGCCCACGGCAGACATAAACGTTTCCGGTGCGGGTTTTTGGGACAGCGGACCCATCTGTTGTGACATGTGTCCAGTCTGTGTTTACCGCTTTGTTTTTCCCAGTGGCACTACTTAAAAGTTGAAGAGGAATTCCGAAAGTGATAGGAAAATCGTACATGCAGACCTACATTAAGATAATTGAGTGTACGACCCCTCCCCCCAAATATTCAGGGTGCGAGACTTCCCACGTTGGCAAAAGCATTTTTTCAGTGATAAAACAATCGCTGAGTGGGATGTTTTCCACGTTGACTTCTTGTTCTCTGTCATTCCAGGCGTTCTTCTCGGGAAAGCTCAAGATCACCGGGAACATGGGCTTGGCCATGAAGCTGCAGGACCTCCAGGTTAAGCCGGACAATGCCAAACTGTGAGGCTTTGTGCTCAGGTTCTGTTCAGCTCAAAGGCAAATTGCCTAAAAGAACTAGACTTCTTCAATTTAATTGTCGTCTCATTTAATGGTTAATAAAATTCTTAAATAACTGACACAGTCTGAAGTGATAGTCGAGAGGGATCCATTCCCAGCTGATACTTTTCATCATCCAAACACAAAGCTCATTTCTGTGTGGTATGACCTGAATTTCAAATGTTTGGCAATGAGATCCACAGCACAACCTGTTTTTATTAATCACGCAGTCAGGAGACTAAATATGCCTCTTAATTTGTCCATAGAATTAAGCTGCCTCAGGTTTATAGCTGTCTTGACCTTAATCTTTTTTTTTTTTTTTTTGATAAATCAATTTGCAAAGAATCTGTAAATTTTAGAGATAATTTAGTTTTCTTCAATAAATAAATCTTTAACTACACAGCCCTCTGCGTTGGTTTTTCTTACTCTGTACCAGCCCATCACTTCTCTTAGTAGGAAACTTCAAAATACACACAGTGGGCTGCTTAGGGTGACTGGAGACTGATCACAGAGGTTTTAATGGTCGCTGAGTATTAATTGGGCTCCCTTATGTATTTAAACTGTTAAGCTGCTGCTATTTTTGCTTCTGTTTGTTCCCTTATTTCTTTATCTTTCAAGTGTAAAGACTGGTAAAAGGGTGTCAGGTGCAGAGGGGAGATGTAACGCCCCCCTTCAGTCGTCACCGGGACCTTTCTGTGTGGAGTTTGAATGTGTCCTGTGTCTGTGTGGATTCTCTTCAGGTGCTCAGGCTTCCCCCCGCTGTCCAAAAACATGATTGTTAGGCTAAACTGGACACTCCAAATTCGCCCTAGGGGTGGATGTGAGTGTGTGTGGTTGTCTGTCTCTGTTAGGCGACCTGTACCCCTCCTCACGCTTGTTGTGAGCTGGGAGAGGCTCCTGCTCCCCCTGTGACCCCATTAGGAATAAGCGGTATAGAAAAATGGATGGATGGATGTAGATTTTTCTTAACCGCTTATGTTTTGTCTCTGTTTTTAATTTATATCCAATGAGCTGGTTTATAGCAGCTTACAACTAGTCTTTCTTTAAAGAAAGACCTAGAAAGTAAGTTGGACTTCTATCTTATGATTTTTCAATATGCTAGTAATGAAACAGTGTTGTTCGTTTGCTGTAATTAATTTGTAAAGATAAATGCAATCGATGCCAGTATGTTAGACAACAGCAGATTTATAGATATTTAATGGGAAATATTTGAGAAATAACAGCTCAGCCTGTGTTGCATCGTCTCTTCTTCTAACAATGGTCCATTTACTTCTTCGTCATGTAATGTTCATAATGCAGAAACTATTTTGAATTAAGTTGAATTAAGCCGTGGCTAATGTCAATATATCACACGACCAGGCGATTGATCATGTTATGACTTTATTCTGTTATCCCATTTGGGTTGGGGTCATTTGGGATCGCCTTATACCTGCTGTTCATGGTTTTGACCGGTTATTGTGACCATGTACACCTTGTACCGTGTGCTTCATCAAATCAGTGTATCTCTCTTAATGGGCTCTGTGCCAAGACCTTTGAAATATTCAAGTCTCTGTTGAAAAAAAAAAACACCCTGAGATCCTGAAACCGTATTAATTAGGAACCATATCTAACTTTTGAAATTAGCCCTACAGCAGCTTAATACAGATTTAAAAAAGCAAATGCAAACCATGGCACTGAATCTTTGTTGATTAATCGGAAATTAGTTTATCGTGGCCTCTAATAACGTTCTTGACCTGTTGTTGGTCCTGCTTGATACCATGTGAATCGCTATTTTGTTAACAGACCTAAACATTTCACTGGGATCACAGATACAGCTTCGGAGCGTTATGGTGTTCCACAAGGATCCGCACTTGGCCTAATTACAATTTTCCTGCATTTGCTACCTTTGGTCACATCCATTAGGAAACACATTAAAATGAAGCCCAGCTTGAACAATCAATGTAACCCAGTGATACTAAACGATTTAGGAAAATGTAGACTTTCCTTCTGGGAATAAAAGAACTGTAATATCCTGTTGTTTTAAAAAAAAAAAAAAGTTTTTGGTCCTAAAAACCCTGTCCATAAATATAGTTACTCTTGATGTTAATGCCTTGCCCTGCTGTTTCTCCCAAGGTCGAGGCTTCAAAGTGACGGTCATCGTGCTTTCTCCATTAGGACCCCTTGGCCATATGATGACCTGCCCACAGAGATAAAGCTTTCAGATTTAGAAACGGCTTTTAAACCACTTAAAACCAATTTCCATCGACTTTCTCTTATGTGATTTTTTTTTTGTACTCGTACAATTGTGCTCAAATGTTTCCATTAATGGAAAAGCGGACTTGAATTGTGAACATTTCTAACCAAGCTTAAATTTATCATACAATTGCATTTTGCAGTCAATCTTGTTACTCATATACTTGTTGTTTTTCTATGTGTGATAATTCCATTCATACGCTCCTCAAATATGCATTGGTGACATACTTGCTGCAAGGCCTTTTTTTCTGGGTCCTAAAGATGTTCATTTGGATTAGTACAATTCGAAGATAAATGCCTGTATCTGCAGCTTTTGCCCTTGCAAACCTGTTTTGTTAGGTTTCGGTTATGAGAGTTGGCTAGATGAAACACAGTGTCAAAGACCAACAATCCACCGTACCAATTTCTAACAGTTTCTTAGAAAAGATTTCAAGGAACTTAGTCGTGATGTATTTCTACAAAAAAACAACAGAAATGGTCAAAATCAAAGTCAAACCCTTGGTGAAACAGGCCTTGTGCATGGTGGTCAGCACATCTCATGATAATTTAGTACTTGGTTTGAACTATGTCTGGGGTCTTTTTCGCTTGGAGTTTCCATGTTCTAAACTGAGTGTGATTTTGACCACGGCCTCCCTTGAATCGGTAAACCTCAACCGCACCGCTTACCCTCGAACGGACAATCTCACACCCCCAAAACAGCTGACAGCAAACCTCAGCAGCGTTTCTAGAATTTGATATATATTTTCCTCTCTTTCCAACAATACAGAGTTGACACATTTCCATCAGTTTTGGACAACAGTGACATGTTTCATCAAACAAATACAGCGTGGCAGCTTTTGAAAAACTTACTGGCATGATAGTACAACCTACATCTTAAAAAAAAAAAGAAAATCTTTCGAAATAATCAACATGTACATGGTAAAACACACATACATGAACAGAGTTCAGAGCGTGGCTTGTGATTGTCGTCTGCCTCAGCAAATTGCCAGTTCCCGATTGCTTCTCGTTTGGTTGTTTTAAGGCAAAGAGGGAATAGAGCTTGGTTCAAGGACAACTTAATCATATGGGCAAACACCTCCTATATGTGTTTTGTGGCTTCCATCATCCTTTTGTGATTAAGCCATACAGGTATGGGGCAGAGGACGTATTTAGGTTCAGAACAATAAGAAAAGTGTCAGGGAAAGATGTGGGACATGTGATGCATATCACTAAGCTGTTGTGTGCATTTTCGAATAATTATCTGTTGTAACTGTTTCATCGTCTTGTTTCGTAACTTCATCTCTTCGCGTGGTTTTTTCTTCTTGTACTTTTTCTTTGTCGCAATAACAGCAGTTTTCTTCAATAAGAGGTTCACCATAAAGAACACAGTGACAAAAGAAAAAAAAAGGAAAAAAAAGAAAAGAAACCCCAGTCGGAATTATGCTAAAACATCACATATACTGAATGAAAAGATTATTCTTCTCTTATTTGTTTGCAGTGCACATAGTAATTGGGGCTTATGATTATTTCTGTTAGTACCAAATGTCAAGCTCCCCTCCTTTGACATGTGGCGACTCAGACACCTATTGTTGGTGAGGCTTTCACAGGATTCACTCTTGGTTTAAAATGTCACTCAGAGGCAGCGAACTGTCACCGCTGCTACCAAACACTTCATCCCCGAACAGTATTTACACAAATGCAAGCGATCAAACGAGGGCCATGTTATAGATTGATAGAAAAAAATACAGTCTTTAGAATCTTTTTTTTTTTTTTTTTTTCTTTCCTCGCCACCGTCTGCTCTTGGCGGCATTTTCGCCTTGAAAGACAAAAGCGCGTGGACTTACAGAGGTCACCACGGCTCTTCAGTGTGTTTCCCTCTCCTGCTGGTTCTGCAGCTGTGCGCGCGCCTTTAGCTGTCGGTCGACCAGCGTCTTTTTATTTTATTTTATTTTTTTACACATTTGTCTCCAGCCCATTCATGTCAACAGAACAGTGGTCCTTGTCTCTGTGCTCTCTTTTGTGGTGCGAGGGATGGCCGTGCTTCTTCTTCTCCACCGGTCGAATGCCCTCCTCCAGCTGGATGAGGCGGGCCACATCGGGCGAGAGGTGGTCCTGTTTGCCTCCCGGCGGGGGCTGGTAGCAGCCGTTCTTCTGGTTCTGGTAAGTCATCATCTGCTGGATGCTCAACATGGGCTTCGTTTCACATATCAGAGGTGCCTAACGGAACAAAACAGGATTAAGGAAATGTGTCAAAATCATTCACTGAGAAAATGTGCTTATGAGCACTGTCGAATCTTTCAAATACATTGAAATGTGTAAATCTGTCCTTTCTACAGTTGTTTGACTCTTTATTTGACACATGCACTTTCTTAAATGATCATTATTTAACCAATAAGAGTCCAGACAGATTTGTCCTTAAAGGGAAATGACATGGAATAGGAAGTTGACTAAATGGACCCAATATATCACATCAAACTTTTAGGTACTGTCAATAAAAATATGTTGAAACAACTAACAGTGTTCTGGAAGATTCTCTGACTGGCAAATTAATTAAGACAGAACTGGGTATAAAAGAACAACCATGAAAGGCTTTGCCTTTATAGGCCGTACCTCCAAACTTTGCTTTCGACTCGCACAAAGACCCTTGAATAATTTTCTGACTTTTAAAGTACAAAACTGCAAAGAATCTGTCTCCCAAGGTAAGAGATGATTTAATAATTTGTTTGAGGCCTGAGCGCATCTTAGATGGACAGACGGGACAGACGTGTTCTGTTCAGCTTTATAGAGCACTCAATGAAATACTTTAAAATTAAAAAATTCAACCTTAGAGTGTTATTGGACAACATAATGAGACTTAATTACATTTGTGACATTTTTCAAATTTTTTTATCATAACTAACATGTGCGGAAATTCCCCAAAACGGTGGAAGGATAACTGTTGTGCTGCTAACTACAAGGTTTTCCCTGGAGGTAGATGGCTAATTTCATTTACCAAACTGGCTGCTATCAAGTCTTTTGAGTGTATTTCTGGCATTAAAAAGCATCTTTTCTCTCACTGAAATCAGACAGAATCCCCATATAGTAAAGATTACGGGCATGGACTGTGTGTTTTAGAAACCTTTTCCATTGTGTTGGGGATGATGTGAACTTTCCTGATGCTTTGTTCCAACATGTTGCGCTTTCTTGGATATGTTTGATTACGAATAGCAATGGAACATGAACGGCTGTAGAGATTAAAATGGGATTTGGGGCTAACCGAGTGTCGTATCATTAACGAGCTCGGGCTAAAAGCCAGCGGGGATTTCCTTGAAAACTCTCACCTGCTCCCCCTCTTTGACAAAGTCTTTCCTGCAGATGTGGGCCATGATGCCCGTGGCCAGAGCGTCCCCCATCACATTGACCATGGTCCTGAATCGATCCCTGAAAGAGAAAGATGGGAAAATCTGTCACGTGCGTGAAACGTTTGGGAAAGTTGCTTCTTACAAACCCTGCTAACCTTTCAGGTGCTGCACTGTTGCAAAAAATGTCAATCGAGTCACGTCAGCCATTCACTGACTTAGACTCATGAGTTAGTGACTTTGTCACGTCCCCTTCCCAAAATCGTAATTTCAAGTATATCCAGCCTTTCATTTAAAAAAAAAAAAGTGAGATTTTACTTACAAAGCCCAATCGACAGCAATGATGAGAGTGATGTCATCGGTAGGTAGACCCACAGAGGTGAGCACGATCACCATAGTAACAAGTCCGGCCTGTGGGATTCCAGCTGCGCCTATGCTGGCGGCCGTGGCGGTGATACTAAGGAAAGAGCCAATCATCAGTGCCGTGTACAGAAATGAAAACAAACAAGGGAGTCAGGGGTGTGGAGACTGTTCTTAGCCACTTTGAAGTGAAATGTAACACTATTCACTTTACATCCTGCACATTTCACACACATAAAACACAGAGGCAACTGCTAACAAAGCCGTGACCTGGTCGGCTAGTGCACTCAATTGGAAATCAGTGCATTTTGTCGGTGGCCGAAACAAGTAGGGACGCAGAAAATAAAGGAATGACATCAACTGAAAACAACTTTCTCTTCAATAATCTAAGAAACGGCTTGGTTTCACTTTGAAAATTGAGATCAATCCCCGTAACGCCACCGATAGAACATCTTCCCTTTGTTAAACTTTGTTGTTCGTACTGTAAATGCGCTTAAAAAAAACAACAACTTCACCTTGGCTTTCGCTGCGTTTAGAGTCTCCATCCGTGACTCACCGTGTAGGAACTCAACGCTTTCATGGTGCTACGATTTAATTTGCCACGTTGCCCTCTTCACAATTAAGAAAATGTCTTTGCAGCTATTGTGGCTTTTAACGTCAACGCGAAGTGACTTTGAATTGATGTTTATTTCAATTTGAATCTCCACCATTTCTCGGGTTATTTGTCGAAATTTTACTGCAGTCAGTCAAAGCTGCTGAGATGAACAGAGGTTGTGGAGACAGCCCATTAAAAGTGCCCCTGCTCTTAACCTGGGCGTTTTACAGCTTGTGGAAATGGTATGTCGCCGACATATTGTCAACCGCCTTCTGCCAGTAATCTAAAACCCACCCGGGAGGCTTTTTATCTTTTCAGACAGACATTACACAGCTCAACACAGCTGCTACTCATCAGCCAGATGGGTTTCATCTTTAGGATAGAAATAAATACCAGCTAGTTTGCCACTTTAATCTAAAGAACGTGAGCCACAAATGTGTCTATTGTATTTCTGTAATATTATTCGTGTTATACCACCATTTGAAATGGCTCAGAGTTCTATCAGTGTTTACTTGCTCTGTTTTGGCTTGTCATAGCTGCTCATAGATGTTTGATACTTGCATATTAATTGCATATTAGTGGGATTCACTACACAACCTGATCTTGTCAATATAAAAGAGCTTATTGGACCTGAATGGCTGTGTTGAGACATCTTGAGTGCTCTCTCCGATTTTTGGAGCGCATTGTCCCCTTTTGGTTTGGCCCTTTAGACTACCATCTGTGACAGCATTGTTGCTGACGATCCAATAACAATTTCTACTTTTTGATTTCCGTCTCTTCTACGTTGCCGAGTCCATAATCTAAACTCATCATGGGTTTTTGCCGACATGAGCATTCTGTCCAGCCAGTCAGTCTAATTTCTCCCAATGAGAGGGAAGAATAAAAGATTAAGGGAGAGTGAGTTGACATTTTGGCCAACGGTTCGGACCCCTCAGTGCAACCTGACAGCGTTGCCCCGCAGGCCCCCCTACGGCCCCCCTACGGCCCCCCGACGGCCGTGGTTCAGTTTGGGCCAGAATACAGATGGAGGGGCTTCACAGTCAGGCGCCAAACAGCATGGGGAGCGGGCACAGAGGAGAGGAAAATTATTATAATTCTGGCGTGACATCGGAGATAAGTTGTACAGGTCATGTGGGGTTTTATTGCTGAAGGATTATAATGAGGGGAATGAACACAGACTGCAGACGGGAGGAGAGGCCTGCTCTTAATTACATTACAGTCGGACATCTCATCAAATCAGATGGGGGTCGGGACTTTTTCCTCAACATGTCGGTCCTTTTTATTTCTTTGTTTGTTTGTTTGTTACATGTAGTCAGAAATAATGGAGTTATGGTGAGATGGTGGTTGTTGATGTTTTGCCTGGTGGTCTCCACAGAGCTTTGAGACTGATTTAGCAGAAATCAGATCAGACTAAGAAGCTCATATGAGCTATAATCTGTGTGACATTTACATATAAGGGGAACCCAGTAAATCCTATAGTAGGTTTATTAATTCTGATTTAAACTTGATGTGTAGTGCGAGATTTAGTTACATGTTCCACCAAAAACACCCAGCCCCCTCCCCCCAGTTTTTCTTTTTTTTTGTCATGGAATTTGAAAAGCTTTGGACATTTTCTCTAATTTTTTGTTTTTAATTTGTTGAAATTGAAATGAATTGTTTAAATAAACATTGCGGCTGAAATAATGTGACTTTATTAGGAAATTCAGAGAACAGAATTTCTTCAATTATTTCTTCATGAATTAAATGAGTTTTGGTGGATGACATAACTCTTCTTTTATTCATTCATACTTTTCTAAAAAAGTGTTTAATCTATTCAGTGTTGTGTATGAGAGTGCTGTTCTCCTCTACATTAGTACAGTACATTGATTTTTTTACTGAGGACGCTTCAACTTGGTTTTTTTTGGAAGCATTTAAATACTGACCTTCAGTCTACTTTTTATGTTCAGCTCTAAATGTAAAGGTTTATTGAATATTCTGCCTGTTTCGTCTTATTTCTTGTTTTGTTATCTCCTCATGGATTTGTATTTATTCATTTAATTTCAATTATTTGAACTTCCTGCCCTGCAATGCAATTTAAATTGCCTTCAGTTCAAAATCTGCCCATTGTCAGCATAAATCACTCTTCCACATTTGTTTAGTGTTGAAAGAAAAAAAGAATAATGGAGGGCTGGCTTTTGTCACTTATAGATTTCAGAAATGACCAGAGCAGACAGTTTGGGGTTGCTTCAACAAAGAGTGAACAAGGAGACTGAACAATCCACATTTTGGTGAAAACAGATTCACCCTGACAAAAGAGAAAAAAACATGTGAACGTGGGTTGTATTGATGTACCACAATTGTGCTGTTTTCACAGGGAGAAGGAATAGGAACTTATATACACATATACCTATGCACATTCGGGCCTTGCTGAGCAAATAAAAGAAGATTGATTCAACCTTTGTTATCATTGTTAAAGAAATATTTTCATTCTCGTCACCCATTTTTTCACATGGAAAAAAGGATCTGAATACTGACACTGGTTTATATAGAAAAAAACACATTTTCATTTATGTTCTCTGTGTTGGTGGATGATCACATAAACGGCTGATAATAAATTAAGCTAATAATAATTTTTTTTCTTTAAAAATATTTTCCAAAACAACATTAACATCTTTGCAAGGATTTGAGGAATATGTAAGAATAACACATAGCTGGGGTTACCACAGTCTGATGAAGGAAAGATTAAAAAACTGTGCGACAATTGAAGCCGGACTTGTATTCTCAAATGAGTGAACAGCTCCCATTCACTCGATCTATGCCTTTAATGCCTTTGTTCACAACTATCTGCATCTCAATCAAAACTTTTCTCCAGATTCACAGCAGCCACCACCACCATGTGCTTCGGTTGACACTTTTAAAGGAAACATTGTATATGTTGGCATTAGTCACATTCGCCTTACCTAATGGTGATGATTTGCCCAAAATCCAGCTCATAATTATTGACTTGGGCAATGAAGATGGCTGCCACCGCCTCATAGAGGGCAGTGCCATCCATGTTGATGGTGGCTCCGACCGGTAGCACGAAGCGGATGATGCGTCTGTCGATGTGGTTGTTCTCGAGGAGGCACTTAAAGGTGATAGGCAGAGTGGCAGAGCTGCAAGCGTGAAACAACAGAAAAGGACTCACAAGGCCGAACCCAGCTGTGATGGCAGAAATAGCTTAAGAGCATTTGTTCTCTAAATACAAAAGAAGCCTATGGCAGAGAGTATAGGAGAGAGGACAAGTCTTGTGTCTAAAGTCCTTTGAGTATGGCAAAGAGCTTTGGAATTAATTGGCACTAAAGCTCTCCTCTCTTTATTTCTGATTTTTTTTTTTTGTGTTACTGTAAATGGAAGAATATGTCCATTAAATTATACCAACCTTAAGAAAATTGTATCTAATCATTGATGAAGACAACTTTGTATGGCTGGAGAATTCTTTCAAGCACTGCGTTTTAAAACTTTCCAAGGGCAGTAACTTCATATTATATCTTGGACTTCACTGCATGTTGGAACTTGACTACATTTAACAGAACCGAATCCAAAATACAAGGAACTACATAAAGTACTGTGTATAGAAATGTGAATCCTACACAGTGCATATTATGCTGAGAAGGACTGTGCCTTTACCTGGATGACGTGGCCAACGAAATGAGCAAGGCCTGAAGAATACCTCTGATGTAAACTATGGGACTCTTCTTTGTGATGAAGAAGTACATAGATGGCAGGATGAATAGACCGTGCAGCACTAAGCCCATTACCACAGTGATGGCATAAAAGCCCAATTTTTTCCCCATGGCCGAAGGGTCGTCCATCTCCAGGATCTTCCCAGCTACCAGGAATACAATACCAAAGGGGAAATACCTGAAAATGACAGAAGAGAAATTCACTTTGGTCATTTGAACTGACCACTGATTAGGGCAGGGTTCTTTTTGGAATCATGAACACATGAACATACTTTCATGGCAAATGATTCAAGCAATGAAATAAACGAAGACACAAAAACTTCATTGAACACTCTTTTATTAGGCTAGCTTCGAGAAGCACCCTCTTACCAGATAACAATGGCAACTATCTTCAAAACTGCCTCATTTAAACTTTGGCAGAAGTTGACCAAAGCACTTCCATTGGGCCCCATTCTTCCCAGCATTATTCCTGGATTGGAGTGAAGCCATAAAAAAGGATATTTAGGGCTCTGAATTCAACGTTTGAGTAAATAATGGACTCATTGGACATAAAACTTACCCATAGTTGCAGAGAAAATGACAATCCCCAGAACGTTCATGCCTTCGCTGGTGCCTGGGGAGGTTTTCACGATTACATCAGGAGGCGGTGTGAGGTCCAAGGAGAAGTTCTGCACATCTGTGCCGTTGTCGTCCTGGATGCCGTAGATGTAGACTCTGCGTGTGGTGGTTTCATCCAGGAGCTGAGCCACGGTTGGCTTGGGGATGAGCTCTGAAACTCTCGCCGTTCGATACTTGAAACCGAAATAGAGCGCAGAACAGTAAATTAAAAAAAAGTACGAAAACAGACACTTGAAGGTGCAGCCATGCGGCCTTAAAGCATAAAGCATGCAATGACCAGCTATTCTTCCACAGGGTCGGATTTTCTCCTAATCTAAAGAAACAAGTGAATAAATGAGCCAAAATATGACATCTACAGGTTACATAACAAACTAACCTCTTAACTTAGATAAAGTTTTGTTACCTCGACCAAAGAGATGAATGAAACAGACAGTAGTATGAAAGTAAATCATTTATCTGGGCTTCTGGTAATGGCGCATACCATTTGATATAGAAGTCACCTCAATGTTCATCAAATATCAAACTGGATACTGTTAGGTCTGTGGAGTAGTTTTCAGTTTTTTCCCCATCCCTCCTCTAGGTGGCCAGATCTGAAAGGGTTCCAGCTGGTGCCAATCTCACTCATCAGGAGCAGCCATAAGAAGGGGCAGTTCCATGCGGCAGTTGCCAGATGATTTCCTCACTTAGTGTGGTACAGGCCAATCTAGTAAACCCTTTCCTTGTTTAACCAGAGCCTTGGATTTCTTCCAGCCTTCCTGCCTCCGTTTTTGCTCCTCACTGCTTCACTCAAAACGTGCCCTCCCAAGGATTCGATCACCAAAACGGCTGCTCCAGACCCAGACATCGCCTCAACCAATCTCACCAAGAAAGAATAAATCCTTTGACTGAGCTTCTGTCTTAAGTTGTGGTCTGCTTAACAGTTTCCAGCTATGACATGACAGGTTATCTCAGCATAATGACCAGAAACGGGGAAAAAAGTAGACACTCTATTCTCATCATATGGGACATTTTATTACCTTTGGAAAGGCAGACTTACCATCTGTCCCTTCTTCATACGTCTGCGCTGAGCTAATCTTTTGTTTACTTTACCACTTTCCAGGAAAAGAGATATTTCTTTCCCCTAATGATAAATTCAAGTTCAACTCTGTCTCTCTATTTGTGCTTCTTTGACTTAAGCCTTTTTTTTCTTACCTGCTGAAACGTAGCTTGAACCAAGTTGGCAGGAAACATATTACTGGGGAAGAAATAAGAGTTACATGTGAATATGTTGCATGATGAAATATGAAAAAAAAGTGCCCGTCATACGCTGGACTGCAAGGAGGAAGCAATAAATTCATGACCACATATAAGTCAGCAAGACAAAGAAATAGAAACATTTCTTCCTAATTTTCTTCAATGTACTCAGTGTGCGCTTCAGATTCTTCCTTATTTGTGCACTTCCCTGTATGAGAGTATGAGCAACTTATACTTAGTTTCTAGATTGCCATTCATGCTTCTTGTGTTTGCTTGTAATGATAGTGCTAGCTCTGCTTTGAAGCCTTTAGTTATCACTGTATGTCTCCTTAACTCAAAAATTGAAGCCCAATGCTTGTCCTTCACTTTCTGTCAATTGTGTAACAGGATGAAATCTGCACTGGTTTTTTTTTTTAGAAAATATGCCCCGAAAATACAGTGTTATTGATAAAAAGGATAAAATGATAGTGCTCCACTGGCTTCTGCCTTTTTTCTGCATCCTCACAGAGAAAAAAAAAGTATTAACTACGCAAATGACAGTGTCAGTCGCACAGGCCGGCTCTGCATTAGAACTGGCTGTAAATCCCGTGCCAATGTAGAGCTCAAAATCACCTTCAGAACTCAAAATGGTCAATTCACATGCCAAGAGATTAAATGGCACGATGTGTTTTCCGGCGAGTGCACTAAACAGTTAAACACCAGTAGCATTTGATGTAGAAATAGAGAAGAAGCATATAATAGCAAGCTATCCACAGAGAATATGTTGAGTACTGTGGACCTACTTAAAGATTTCATCAGCCACTGCTGAGCCCATGAATGAGAAAAGCAGCGTAATGACACCGCTCTGACCTCAAGGTCTTATGATATAGTCTGCATATTTTCAATTACGCTCGTTATGCGCAGTGGTCACATGCAGCCATGTACACAAACAAGCATGACGGCAGATGCTCGGGTCCATGTGTGAGTGTACCGATATAGCAGGCGAATTCCCGCATGATAGATGAACGCTGTAAAGAAGCTTTGCAAGATAAATCCAAAGCACAGCTGTGGTCTGTAAAAAAAACACACACGCATGCACGCACACACGCGGCCAGCCCGTGTGTGACAGGGCTTCACTATCGCACATGATCAGTATACGGAGGTTGACCAGTTTGATGGGCCTTCTATTTAAACATTTTTTGAAGAAATTGCCGTTGAAAGAAAGTTGTCCAAGCCACATGAAACGGTTAGACATTGTTGTTAATTAGAAAGTTGTTTGCTGTTTATTTTTCTTAAACCTGTCCACTGTTCTAGTCAGGGGTTAAATGCTATGGATGGGCAGTGTCTGGCCTCCTTATGTGGCCGTTGTGTTTCACAGACAGCTGAGTCCACTGACCGACTGACATACCTAACCCTCAGGTTTCTTTTAGCAGTCCTATCCCAGGTTTAGCTTTGGCTCAGCAGCACCAGTCTTTAACAGCCCTTAACTGGGCTAATTGACTTAATACAATCACCCAGCAAACCCAAACCAGGCATCCAGTAAATAATCTCACGTAAGAGTTGCTGTCTGTTTTATTGAAATTTTTTTTTTCCACGCTTCAAACCCCAAAGCAAGACCACTTCTGCCATTTGAATTAAATTGGTCTCAAAACAATAATTATCATTACTTGATTTTATTTTTAATTCTTTTTTACAAAGGTTTGCTGTCTTTTTCTTTTGTGTAATAAAATAACACAACTTAAAGTCTCAATTTGAAAAGAATTTAGAGAGGCTGCATATTTATTGTTGTGTCTCTGTTAAATTTAACTTATGCTCCATAATCCAAAGCAAAAAATGGAAAATTCAATATTTCTTCTGCTGCACTTTAAAAAGTGACACTGATAGTACAGTAATTTGCCATTGTGCATGAAGTTCTTTTGCCTCGGTAATGGTCATAGACCCTTATTCCCCAACATCAGCCATCTGCTTTCCTTTACAAAGATCTCCAGCTTCATGTGAGCTAAATAACATGGACTTAAGGAGTCTTACCGAATTAGATCAAGGAGAGCATCGGCAGAGCTGGTCATTGGCTTCTTGCTCTCGTCTGAGTCCTCCTTCTGGGCAGCACCGCCCGGGTGGATGATGTACACCATCAGGATGCCCACTACCACGGCCACAAAGGTGGTCCAAAGATAATAAGAAATGGTCATGATCCCCAAGCGACTTGAGCATTTGGCATCCAGCGCAGCCAGTCCCGACATCAAACTGAAGGAGAGGGGAACAAACAGAGGAATAAGAGGGAAAACGTTAGTGGTCTGTAGCAACTCGAGCCAACAGCTGCACCAGAGCTGTTTTCGATCGGTGTTTTGAACGTAGAATGATTTTGGAAATATGAATACTCATCAAAATGTTGTGCTGATGCGTGTGCTATTGATTTTGAGGGAAATTGTTTACACTTAACTGCCTTCAGTTTGTCTACTTTAGAAGATGAGAGGAGAATCACATCTCACACGAATGTGGATTAAAAGGGACGCTAAACAAAAGTTTTCTTTGCAAACACTCGTGAAAAAAGTCGGTTATAAAAGGTCAATATAACTCCTCAAGAAAAACAAAGTCAGAGTCAAAAAATAATATTTTGTGGGGTTATTTGTCCATTCATCTTTGCTAAATGCATCATCGCGCGGCTTTGAATGATTGCTCTTCTTTGCT